AAAAAACATGAATAGAACGAAACATTAAAAAAAAACATATGAAACCATGAACCTGGTGACAAGTTTCCAAGTTATTACACTCAAATGCCGCAATCAAGGCACCGATCGATCCGAGGTTTGACCCAAGACATGCTGCTCAGTTGTACCCACGCGCACAGCCTCCAGGTGCATTCGGCATTCAGAGCGGACTATCTGCAGGACTTTCTACGGAAATCTACAGTTTTTTGAAGAAAACCATCCACATCCATCCACATATAATAATTCATACATATAATTATAATATATATATATATCCTGTTCCCATTGGTTGTACAGTATCAAAACTCTGCATACATCCTGCGAGAGTCAATATGACATGCGCAAGTTGTGCAATGAATAAACCACACCCGCAAAGCCTGCAGCGTGTCCGATACCTCACGTACCCCGACCACCTGACATGGATTGCCATACTGCATAGGAGTGCCATGTTTGAACACGAAGTCAAGAGCAGAGACATCTAAAGACCTGAACCCGTCTAATTACACATCTACCAAAAACGCTAACTAAATGATACGTGCGTAGTACGACATCTGTTGCATCGTGTGAGCCAATGTGAGACTGCCTGATGGCACAGCCAGTGCCTCCTGCTTGTCAGATTTGGTAGCAGCCGTCGCGCTCATATCCTCGAGTCTCTAAAATGACAATTCCCACTGGAAAAACTGTTGACTCATGTTGACTCCCTTCCAACGTGTTTGTCGCATGAACAGACGATCCAGGGCAATGCATCTTTAGCATCCAAGAGTCAAAATAGATTTGTACTGGCGCATCGGCACGCACGACAGTGAAATTCATTGTCGTGATCGGACAGGTTGCCACGACCAACACCTGAAGCATGTGAAGAGAGCACTTCCAGAACGTTCTGAAGTGATGAGTTGCGCAGCTGCGCTCACTCCTTATCCGCGAAGGATACTTGCAATAGTACCAGTCTCAAGTGCCATATTCAAATTGTCCAACCATAGCATCACGTTTCCACGCCTCGTCATGGCCGAAGGAAGGAGTCATGAAGTCCACAATCATCTCAGCAGAGCCCGCCTGGAAAACAGTAACCCCTGGAATATGTGGTAAACCCAATAAACCTACTATCTCCGGATAGATTTTACAACCCACTTATGGATACTTATGGTATTTGATAGATGTTTATCTTTTTTATGGTAATATCGGGGTTGGTTTATGGCATTGAGTGAATCCCACAACCAAACTGTGGGCTCTCAAAGTGCTTGTCTTGGAGGCAGACCTTGGGAACTAATTTGGAAGTGACTTGAAGTGACGATGCTTTATCCATTTCCCCCCTTACGTTGGAGACTTGTAGAGCCAATCTATTAGAACTAAATGTACAATACCGTAAACTAATTGAGCATTCTGTCTGAATTCTGCTGGTTCCCAGTTCCCTACCCATTTTGAGCAATTTCCAAAGACATGCCACGTGACTATCGCATCTTGGCATCGGATACCCTGCCTGAAATGTGTAGCGTGTGGTCGTAGGCCGAACCTCGACAGATTTCTGCACAGCCGCTGGCAAGTCCTGGAGCAGAATCTCTTCATTCATGTCAGGTCAAACAATATCAAAATATTATATACGGGTTGGTGGTTTCAACCATCTTGAAAAATATTAGTCAATGGGAAGGATTATCCCATATATTATAGAAAATAAAAATGTTCCAAACCACCAACCAGTATATCAATAATATTCCATATTGTCTATTCCCGAACATTTATCTATCTGTCTGTCTGTCTGCCTGCCTGTCTGTCTGTCTATCTATCTATCATTATCTATCTATATCTATCTATGATGACCAATGAATAACCCGATCGATCATGAAGTAACCCGATCGGTGGATCTTTGCTGGTTTGATCTGCTGCTAAAACATTCGTTCAGGAGTCGTTCAGGAGTCTCAAGGGAACTTCCGTGCCATGAAAACCAGCTGAGTACTACCGCCTTTTATGGCATACAGCATGAGCTATTGAAACCCATGCTTTCAAGAGGGCTGGCTCAACATTGTCAAAAGTATTCAAAAGTCAAATATGATGTGGCAGAACACATGACTTGACATGCCATGCACTCTCTATGCAAAAAAGATCAACCGTGGATCAGTCCAGGACAGGCTGCCCCAGCCAACGATAGACTGTTGATCCAACGCGCAGAAGACCAACCCACTCCAAGCTGTCACCTGGAGGGAGAAATGTGACTTCTGCTGCGAACCAGGAGGGCTGTCACATTCCCAAGAAATCAGGTCGTATAACCGGGCATAACCCCACATGATAACCAACAATGGTACTTTCATAGGCTGATATGGCCTTTGAAATGGCTTGGGGAGTACCCTGTGAAATATCTTGGAATAGGGGCTCTACTTGTGCCTAAGTTATCTAAGTTGTAAGTTCACAAATCACAGGAAGCCAAAGCCTGCCCGACTGCCCGAACATTTCACCCAACCAAACTCTCACAGCCATAGGGGGCCTGTCCAGTGCTGTGGACTTCCATCCGTCAAGTTGTCATGACCTGCAAGTCTTGACCAGCAGCCGATGGCGATTGGCGATGATACTTCTATTCTATGTCCAATTCTCATGTCCAGAAGGCAAAAACAGAAGATCTGTGCTGGTGAGATTTCTTGGCTTCGTGAGGAATTAGCGTTACCCAAAGTGAGTGCCACCAAACCCCAGGTACCTCTTCTTGACTCTCCATCACAACCATCACATCTTTGAGATGAAACAACTACAGTAACTACAGTAGCTCGGGCATGAATGGAAGTGGTCTCTCTTGGGTGAACATCAGAATAGCTTGTAGTTGTGGATGTTTCATCATGTTTCATCTCCTAGTCATATCAGAATATATCACTGGAAAATCCACGAAGTTATTGAAGACAAAAACAGACATCAAAATCCCCGTCGCATCATTGGTCAATGAATTGGTCTGTAACAACTTAGTCCCGCCTCGTTTCTGGGAACTGTAACAAAGATGTGAAAAATCGGTCATGTTCCCCATATTTCAGGCCACATTTTCATGGCCACATTAATGGCCAGAATATGCCACAGAAGCACTCCAAAAGCGATGCCGAAAAAATTGGCACTTGGAAAACACATTGGTCAAACACCTGGTCAACCATCAAATTTTGGGACACCCAATTCTTCAGGGAAACAAATATTAGTTGGCATACGTAAACGCTCAAAAAATCCATAGTTTGTCATCAAATCGTAAAGAACATATCCGTTCAAAACTCCCATATATGTCTGGGATCATTCCCGAAAAAATGCTCCATGTTGACCCGAGCCCATCATCCACACATTCCATGTTGCGATATCTTGGGATATTACTATTATTGTTACTAGATAGAGTTCAAGAATCATGGCAATGATCATAAAAAAGTATACCTTAATATCCAATAAGATCCGGTTTTTTCTCCACTATATCCATTCTATATCTCATTTGTTGGGATATGATTGGGATATGGTTCTGGGTCAAAACCTATTCTTATCAATTCTAATGGGATGAACATCCATAAATCCCAGCTATTTTGGGCTTCACTAGGTGCCAGGGTTTTGACCAATAGCCATATCTTGGTAAATCCTCCACCTGCCATGACTTCCGAGCTGCAACTCCAGGTGCTTTGGTATGGCGTGGCAACGTCCAGCGGAACGCAAGGAGCGCGGAAGGCCGCGGCCGCCGCGGCCAGTGTCACCAAGGCGGGCAACCGAAAAACCCAGGTCCATGGCAGGAAGCCACCCATGGCGGATGTCGATGAGTGAGAAGGATGTGTAATATAGTATGTATGTAGTGTCTATGTATAGTATCTATATGTAGTATCTATGTAGTATCTATGTATATCTATGAAGTATTTAGTATATTCTATTATATTATGTTATGTCATATAATTGTTGTATATCGTTATATTGTATTCCCGTGGTGAAGAATCTTGTAAGCATCCTTGGGATTGTTGGCACAATCCTGGCTGAGCCGAAGTGCAAACCAGATACATTTTCTCCTTCAAGCTGTTGGTCAATAAACGTCGATCATCTGCTTGTCACTTGAATGTACATCTGTGTACATTCAAGATCCAACGTTAAACCAAAATCCATTCCTAAACAGGCTCGGAAATCGATCGAAGAGTTGCTTTGTTGGTTTCAGGTGCTTCGGCAACAATTCATATTGCTTTCATTTTGCATCCCTTTCATGTTCCTTTCATGTTGCATTCATTTCCTTTCATTTCGTTTCTAAGGCTATGGAAATGGGTTTCTGGCTTGGCCAGGGGACCGAGTGCAACAAATAGTTAAGTGCTGGTTATCCCTAAACAACCCCCACAACATATGACATTGTTCGAAGGAATTTTCCGCAAAACGACAGAGATAGATAGATAGATAGAGAGAGAGAGAGAGAAGGGAGAAAGAGATATAGAGAGCGAGCGAGTTGGATGCCAAATGATATGGTACAGTAACTTCAGGAAACAGGGCACCACAGGTTGAATTTGAATCATCGGTTTTGCCCCTTGGGTGAATGTGCACAACAGTATTTGCTTGGTTTACGCCAAGTTTAATGGACTATCGTGTATGGTCCCAGGTTATCGCTTTTGACGCTTTTGGGGGGGCCTATCGCTTTACAGTGTTTCGCGCACATCTCGGACAAAAAAACTCCTGCAATACTAAAGTGGCTGTGACTCATGTCAGCTCTGCATCAACGTCAGCCTGGGAGTCTTCACCGGCTGGTAATCCTGAAGGCACAGGAACCGCCCTCTGCATGTCATGCAGCTGGTCCACTGCACAGCTCTGGTGATTCCAGTCCTTTTCGCCTCTGCATTCAAGGGATAGCCATGTCGCACCATCGCAGCTGCAACCTGGCACGGCCAGCAAAAAATCAACGAAACATACGTAATTCATACGTACCCTCTGGTAATTTAACATAGCTATTGAAAATGATCATTTACAGATATTTACAGTTGATTTACCTATTATAAAATTTATAAATGGTAATTTTCTATAGCTTTTTGTATGTTTACCAGGTTGGATCACTAAACCCATCTGTGGCGCATATCCACTGAGACCACCGAAGTCCACGATTCAGATGATGGAGGCTGATGGAGCTCATTTCACAGCATGCCTTCTCTAAATGGGACGTCTCACCGGCACGCTGTGCAGCCTGCAGCAAAAAACATGCAAAGCTGTGAGTCTGCACAAATCTGCCGTAGATATCCGCAGATACTTTATGAAATTATATTAAGATTAAATTAAGATCATTAAGGTGTACATCAACTTAAGTTGATGGGTGGCAGTTCCCATCTGGGAGTTCCGGCTGCCAGTTTCAGTTCAAGGGTCCCGGCATTCTAGTTGCGAAACTGAGGGGCGTGAAGCGAGGGCACCGAAGTTGAGTCAAAATGACACATGTGGAAGATGTTTTCAACCGAAGAACACAATGTCTGTTTCAACATGAAACTCTTGCAGAAGAATGAAATAATTACATGCGCTCATACAAATACATACAAGACACAAAGACGAAGTATCATAAAGTGAACAGGCAAAATGGACCAGCTGAGCACAGAATCATGGCGTGAACCAAAGTCGATAGGAGGCTGAGTACCATCTCCAAATCCTTCCCGAAGCCACCTGAAGTTGTTCCAGCCAGAGGCCTGACACAGAAACCAACCATCCATTCATTGCCGAGGTAGCAACAAACCCATCAGCTTGATTTTGAGGATGAAACCTGCACTCATAGATTATGCAGTCTCATACTATTAATTAAACATATTTATCTTTAAATATGCAATCTCACATATATTGTTGAGAAATTATCTTCAAACAGCATGCATTATGGGCTACTGTAACCAGATTAGTTTGTGGGCGCGGCTGGGAGATAATTTCGCGCAGGCATAAGATTAGTTGTGGGCCCAGAAGAACAGCATGCACATATTTATATGCCACATGTTTACCATCCGAGTGAATTAACGGTGCAGCTCCTTTTTGAAAAAGCACAGCTTGACCACCCAGCCGTGCTTTTCATGGGAGTCCCAACCGGTTCCAATGTCGAACAGGTCTGTCATGGCCATTTCCTCTGACAGTGTGAGCCTCGGAATCACTGGCTGAGGCCGGCTGAGGCTGTAATCTTGTCCCATCTTGTCCCAAAGGGACCATGTTTTTTTTTGAATTCATCCTACTAGTAGTCTCACTTTTCATGCACGTGGAGTGCAAAATGTGCAAATCCGCTATGATATTGCCAGCTGGAAGCGACGTATCAAGGCACCGAACGCTTTCGACAACTCACCTTGCTCGAGGTAAAACCTGCACTTTGCAGAGGGATGCCATCACAATTTGCCCAAGGGTTGAACCTGGTCATTTCCAAAGATCAGAATTGTTTTGTTGGCTCAAATATTGCCAAATATTGAAAAAATATTGCCAATGCCAAATATTGCCAAATATTACCAACAACCAATGCCAAATATTGCCAAATGGCAGTGTGTCAAAACCTTGTACCCCTGTAGTTCACATCAAAATAGCTGGGATTTATGGATGTTCATCCCACTAAAAATGGTATTTTCATAGGTATTGATCCATACCCAAATCATCTCTTTTTTCAACGAGTCTCAAAAACTCGTCTCCGCCGCTCCGGTCGCCTCACCAACTCTGAGAAGGCCAACCAGTTGAACTGGATCCCCTCCCATTCGAAGCGGCTGACCCACACCTCACCGTGACATCCACCATGTGATCAATGTGGAATGATGAATGAACCCATAGGATCCATGGTGCTGGTATATATACTAACATTATCTAACATAAAGGGGGTATATTGATGGGATCCATGTTACCATATATAGCAGCACCATGGATCCTATGGATGATGAATGATGTTTGTTTTGGATTTTCTTTTTCATGCAAAACAAAAAAAAACTCAGCAAGTATCGTCAGTGTCGTTAAGTCACCGAATTTGTCGTTTTCTCCAGCCACATCCGTGAATTTACCCTCTGGTAAACGTACAAAAAACTATTGAAAATCACAATTTTTAATGGGTAAATCCACTGTTTCTATGGCCATTTTCACTAGCTTTTTGTATGTTTACCAGAGGGATCCAGAGGGTATGTGACCTGGAGTATCAACCGCCCATCCGGGGCACCTGGACATTCTCGGCATCTTTGGCGACGCAATGGGCCCGCAGCATGGAACAGTAGGTCTGATCTGTCGCTGTGAAGCCGGCTGCAGTCAGCTCCTGCCAGCCGATTCCAGGGAGATTTAGCAGAACAAACACAACTGTTTGGCGAATGGGATCTCCAATTCATGGATGATGATCCCACGATATTGAGGACCGCCGAACTCATCAACCCACGCTTTGAACACTGCACGACTATGCCAGCTGTGCATTTTTTAATCGTATGATGTCAGCAGTCCTTCCAGATATCGTCTACCTTCTTAGCATCGCCATTGGATGCATAGGCATCCAAGACCTTTGATTTGGAAAGCGTGAAATCCTCAGACTACAAAAGCTCCACCAGCCATCGCGGAGAAAAGGGACCTGTTGTATGTCTTCATGTATGCAGGCTATATTCACTATAAATCACTATGGTATTTAGAATAGCAAACATATACCATAGTACCATATTTAGAATAGCACATATCATTATATTCACTATAAATCACTATGGTATATTCACTATAAATCACTATTATCATTATTCACTGTGTGCTGGGTATAATATAATGATAATACGTACACATATACCCTGCACACTGGCTGTCCACATCTGGGAAGGCAAGGCCTGATCCATCCTGATCCACATCTGGGAAGACCCACAGCTTGATACGAGTCGAAGTCTGGTTGGGCTTCTGCTTGCAACCTGGTGCACCATGCTGGTAAATCTGCTCAGTTTGTAGTTTGTAAAAGTTGCCACACTCTGAATAGGGAACATGCAAATCAAACATGCAAAGTATGTATGATGCGATATGATGCGATATGATGCGATATGATGCGATATGATGCGATATGATGCGATATGCGGCTTAGGTTGGGTTTGGTGTGATAAGAAACAAACGGCAGAAGCCAACGCACCTGGCAAGCCACTTGCTGGCTGAATCGATGTCACCAACCTACCCACAAGATCCGCCCCTCATCTTGGCAGCTGCGTAAATTGTCTAGATAAAAAAAAGTCAAGTCACCAAAACTATCCAAAACCTACAACTCTTTTTTGCTTAAAAGCGATGAACTGGTCGTCCAAGTCCATGTGCAGGAGTTCCGTATCGCATGCTTAATATCTGAGTTCCATCTGAGTTCCATATCCCATGCTTAATATTGTTGAACGCAAATGACACTATGTTGCTATGCAGTGTGTCCAAATGCGACTCATAAAAGCTGAGGGCAAGCAGATTGTCCCGACCTCTGCATAGCTCCTGTCCAGCAAGAAAGGTGCCAGACTTCAGCAAGATTCGAGAATCTCATGCCTAGTCTGTTTCCAACCAACTAAAGATATCTAAAGATATCGTCTGGGGAGTATTGGGATGTCTTGGGCAAATTACGTCTTTGGATGTGTGGAAAATCCATGAAAATCCAGGTCCTGATCACGGTATTGTATGCCTCTACTGGCGGGGTACCAATGGAAGCAGCCTCATTGGAGCATGCAAATGAAGCCCATCGGTGCCGCAGTCAAAGGATGTGGACTAATTATATCTATCTAATTATCGTAGACGATTGTACTACACTATTGGAGGCTGGAGTTCTGGAGAAACACTGTGAACAACCTCCAAGGACTGCAGAGGCAGAGTTTCATGAAATCTTAAAGAAAAAAAACATCGCAACATATTGCAACGAAGCAACCCATCAACAGGGATGATGTAAGATGGGGAGGTCACTCTGATCTATGAATCTATGATCACATGCACCAGGATTCCAGCCATCTTTTCATGCCAATCTGCAGCACCTGACCGGGCTGTCAAAGACTTTGTCATCACTTGGCGCTTCTGATAGACTCATTTGATATGAAGAATAGCTCGTGTGAAGAAGTGCTTCCATGCCTATTCATCCTATCCGCTTTCGATTTCTCTTAGTTTCTTCCAAAAAGTAATAAGCGCGCCTTGTGGTCGTTTTGCACGAGAGTAAGCCTGCATGATCTTCAGGTATGGAACCTGGCCCAAAGCAACTTAAAGCGCAAAGTCTTAATCCCTGCTTCATCTCAATTAATTATACTTCAATCACAGCATGCAGGCAGGAGAGACCAAACTATGCCCATTCCAGTCAAAGAGGACAATTGCTATATACACACCATTTTCATCCATTTGGACCACATCTACTGCTCTATCATGTAATATCTAGGTTTCATGGATGTATTGATATACTATACTGAACACCTCAAGCTCCACTTGAGAGGTGGATGCAGCTTGCCGCAAGCTGGACAGTCCAAGGCGCATCTTCTTTTGCTACGGTGGAGTCGGAGCACAACCTCTGCGGAGATTGATAAACATGTCAAGTTTTAAACAGCTGTACAACTTGATCAACTTGCGAATGAGTGCTGATTGTTCAGCTTCCAGACACTTGAAGTCACCATGTTTGCAACATGTTGAAATATACATATATAATATATATATATGTGTGTTCTGAATATCTTATGAATTATGAAATTACGAAGAATCGCCACAGCGAAAACTCACCACGGCGCGAGCCTGGTCATGAAGGAAGCGGTGCGGTCAACGAGGCCTGCGTCACTTTTTTGCTCAACAAATTCTGCTTTGATTTTTGTTGCATGGTGTTGCATCGTGTTGCATCGTGGTCATATTCTCGGGGGTAATTCAGTCCACTTCCAGGCTGATCTTGTGTTCTTCCTTTTCTGAATATATATATATAAATAAAGCATAAATGACTCTCATATGAATCTCATATGAATCGCATATGAATCTCATTGAATCTTCTTAGACGTCTTAGACAGAGCATAAACTGCACATCACCGGATGAGCTCTTTTCCGTCCATGCTGTCCGGATGGGCTGGACCTCCAGGCCCTTGGGGCAACGATTTGTTGTCTAATTACGGTAGCCTGGCAATCAGCCTGGCGATGCCAGAAATTTTCGAGGAAAAACGACAACTGTGATAGGCTTTGATCCTGGCTTTTCATTTTTTATCGCTTTTCATGGAGAGGAATTTCAAAACTCAAAATTGTTTGTTGTTCTCCTTTTGGTCCTCACATGCTACCGTGAAAAATCAGTCAGAAGCATTCCAGCATATTCCAGCACCTCGGGGCCAGAGTCGTCGTAGACGTGAGCATGGAGTGGATCAATAACCCAACGTTGATGGGATATTTGACATTATTTGACATAGATTTGGATGTTTCGGGTATATATCTAATGAAGGGGTTTTTGAAGGTATAGATGTTTGAGAATTTGCAGATTACGGGATTGATTGATGTTCCGAATATGAATGTTGCTAACGATTCGCTGTATGTTCAAAATCTCTGTGCACAAAAGAATGTGCCCCTCGTGAACAGCCTGAGAAATGCACACACATACCTTGAAACTGTGTTTATGTGGTCCTTGACAGCACAAACCAAACGAACGCCTCGATCTTTCATCACAGTCTCAGCAACAGTCAGCAAATGCCGCATTTTTTTCGGAGCTTCTCGTTGGCAGGGCTTCAATTGATGATCCCGCACAGTTCCTAACAACAATCATTGCAATCAGTTTGTTGTCCAGAGTGCTTCTAGCTGCTTGAAATCTCCCCAAAGCTTGCAACTAGCACAGATCGTCAATGGGCCTGCATCCTATTCCTGCACTGCTATGTACACACGTGAAACATTCACTTCGAACATTTCTCAACCACCAAAAATCAGTCAAACACATAAGTAAAACATAGTAAAACCAGCACCCATCATTGAAGTCATTCTGATGTTTTTGAGACACCCAAATTCGACGGCCCTCACCAGTCAGGCACGGCAGACTTGTGCCGAAAGTGGAGGGTGATAAAGCCAGCAAGTCGGGCCTGGGATTTGAGGCCAAAAAAGAGTCACCAAATATTCACCGAAGGAACAAACATGTTTGGTGCAAGTATGGTGCAAGTGAATGAGGTATCATCATTGAATCATCATGTATACTTTAGTGACAGTGTTTTTGCAAAAACCTCCTTTGCAATGGCTCCGGCACTCAAGGCATTTCCAGTACATTTTTTGAAACAAATGATCGCCACACAGACAGTGGGAGTTCACCAGTGTTCTTCTAGTCTGATGCCAATATCTTAAGGCTACCGCACATCCATCTACCTGTTCCTATGGGAACTGAGCTTCAAGGTAGCCCACAAACCCAGCCTTCTCGTCCCAGAAGTCACCTGAAAGTTGACAAAGCAAGCTGATGCAAGTCACCAAGGGCTGCAATGCATGAACTGTTTCCATGAGGGCATATGCAACGAAGCAGATCTAGGGAGGACAGAAGAACCAGAATCTGCAGCATGCGGAAAACCTTTTAAACATGCAATCAAATGCAATCAAGTTTCTGAGCGTTGCGTCAGCCGGCGCTAGGCAGTCATCCACGTAAAGCTCAAAGTCATCGGGTTTCAAACCAGACGGAGAGTACTTGTCCTTGGTCACCAGTGGCACCAGTGGCACCAGTTTCGTGAACAGATTGGAAAATTTTACGCCATGTGTCAACGGAATAAAAACAAATCATCTTAAAATTTAAACTTCAAAACCTGACGGCTTTCGCTAAGGGGCCACAACCTCTTGGAGAGTTGTAGTAAGATTCAGCATCACTTCTCTGCTGAGTCCGTCAGGGCGTACTGCCCGGAGCTTCACTCGACCAGAGACCTTGCAGAAAATCAACGGCAAGTTCTGCTTGAAACTGGTCTGCTGCATTGTTCTTCTACCGTTTCTACCATAAATGCATACCACAAACACTTGCGACATGTAATTCAAGAAAGAAATCGGACACGTTCAGAAACTATTCCGAGCAATCAAAAGTCTCGGCCAACATCAAAAATGTGTGGATCTGTGGGTTGACACTGAACGCATCCAAAAACCCTTCATGCGCACTGTGCTTGTGTAGTAGATGGTGCCTCGATGTGCCTCGTATAAAGTTATGTTTCATAGCAAGCAAAACATCGTCGGTATCAGGTCACTTGCCCAGTTGGGCCGCTCTCTGCAGCTTCCCATGTTTTCCTCAGGCCCCAAGGTCCCAAAGGCTTGGAATGCTGAAGTAAAGATGTCAAATTGGAATTCTTAGCGCCTAGTTACTTAGTTCAGCAGATGGACATGTTTGGCATATAGTCATATAATAGTTAGTACATATCAGTAGCTCTCACCTTATTTCTGAAGAACAGGCGCAATAGGAAATAGCAAATGTCCCCCATTCATCTCTTCACCTGGGCAGAGCAAAAAAGGGTCCTCCACTGGTTTCACACTCAAACAGCCTGAACAAAACGACCCCACAATTCTGCCCGACGCACATGCTCCAGCATGATAGCATTGAATCATCTACCCAACCAATCATTTATCATGAATCATCATTTATCATCATTTAT